AAGAATGGGTTACATTTTCCACAATCAAGCATGCCACATTTACACAGAATAAACTATATAAAACCTGTGTTGTAGGTACACGGCTTTTAAAATTGGCCATCTATTTATGCATTCTCTATTTAGCCTTTTAGCAGAGGCAACCAAATTTAAGTGAGCAGATCTGTCAAAAATCAGAGGTTTCTAAATCAATTAGTTTCTCATGATATAGGAAGAAAAAAGTCAAATCAAACCACCTCATTTATCTGTAAGGTGTAAAGTCAAGTCCATGGAATTGTTGGAACTTACAATGTTAAATTAAATATATATATGCTTGTTTTATTTGTAAAAATAAAATATGCTTGTTTTATTTGTAAAAATATAAAAACCCTTTAATACTTAAACAATATAAAAAAACCCAAAAAAAAAAAATAAAAACCCTTTGATACTTAAACAAAATGGTTGGATTTTATGTAAATTTAATTTTACTGCCAATGTTTCTTTTAYTTATTTATATGTATCACGATAACAAGTAGGAATCTTAATTATGGGACTATGTGAACTAAATATGTACAAACGCTGCACAGAACCATCGTCCTCTGCCATCCATAAAGCTAGTTTTCAAATTAGTATATATCACACATCAATTTGTTCCATTCCATCTCCCAAAGAATCAGCAAATTTCCATAAATTGTCATTTGTGCACACCCATCAATTCAAAATTATTTTTAGAAGACAGCTGTGTACTAAAGGAGGTAAATTTGACTTAAGAAAAATGGCTTGAACTGAGAGTAGAATACTCCTCTCCAGATCCCACGGTGAATCTTCCACATAGGGTCAGATTTTCTCTCTCAAGGAAAGTAAATCTATACACACACACACACACATACACATTCAGCTAATTTGTCTCCAGATCTATGGAAAATAGTGAAAATGATCTGGGCATGATCAAGTCCAAACTCACACCCATATTCAACACTTGTTTATTCTCAAAACCAGCGCATGGTGCTTTAGTGATTCACACACAGACACAAGTAAAACAAAGTTCAGAGATCCCTAAGTTGAGAACACCTGAGCCAGTGCTAGGGACAGAGAGGAACATCGCTAGGGAGCTAATTGCATCACACCTGGGCAACTGGGCTCTTGTGCAGCCCTGCAGCCACTCTGGATCTCCCATGAAACAGCGTCACTGGACGACAAAAAAAAAAAAAAAAAAAAAAAAAANAAAAAAAAAAAAAAAAAAAAAGAAAGATTAAGTGACTTCTGTTATGGGTCAGTGATAGATCCTGTCACCACTCCAGCCTCAGCAAATATAAACATACGTATGCTTTGCAAAACTAAGACATGTATGTGCTCAGCCTTCTCAGGAGTACGACAGCTCTCCCTCGGTCTGCTTGTGCTGCTGCACTCTCACAGCTACAGGCTCACGGTAACTTTCTCTTCTTYGTTTCCTCCAGTACATACGTAGGGTAAAATCAACTGCTGGCTGCTGGAAGAGCTGCATCTCTGAGCCATTGCCTGGGAAAAGGCTTCCAACCAGGTCTTTTAGGTTGTGAAATGTGGCAGAAGYGAGACAAGAAGACAAGGTTTAAAATGCTACTATTGAGGGTTTTTTCTGCCTAAAACTTACAACAGTGTCAAAATTTTAAAGTGGATTTGACACTCAGGGTTCCTCAGCACCACAACCTGAAAGGAGAGGTGGCTGCCAGAGGAATCATTCTTCTTTTTTTGATTTTCAAAGAGAACTTTATCAAAATTAAATCMAAATTTAACTGCCTTTTTTTCTGCACTTAAGCTAAAAGAACAGCCGTGCAACTGGCAATGCCCATGCTGTCTGTAGATTAGGCAGTATGAAGGGCAGCAGTCACAAACTGATAGTTATATATATTGAAAAATTAATAGTGAAACTACAGCAATGAAATCTTCATACAGCAGTCTGATACTAAATCTTCAGATGGAAAATTTTTATGTTTAGATTAGGAAAGTCAAGCTGCTCTTACTAGAGGGAAATAAAGTTGTTTGTTGATATTTTTATTTCAATAGCAGTATGAACAAGCATCTATTTGGGCAAACAACATTATTTCCCACTAATAAGATCAGCTTAGTATGAAGGTTTCATTGCTGTAGTTTCACTATTAATGCTTACTTTATACGCATTAAGACTATTGTAGTTCCACCCTGCAAAGCAAGGACAGAAAATGCAAAAAGTGAAGAACTCTTCTGGTTTGGGACAAGGGGAAAAAATGGGATCTCCATGTGCAGGGCAACATGACTGGGGATGACCAGAACCCACTGATACCCACTGAATTTAAGGTGGAAGGAAAGCAATATTCCCACTGAGACTGCAACAAGTCCAAGGCACARGAAAGAGGATGTTCTCCAGTTGTATAAACCATGGACTTAAATGCAAATATTCCACAGCATCTCCTTTAATAAAGGAGTCAAGAATAAGAAATAAATTTTTTATTTGATGTAGGGTAAGAACAGTATTTTGTACAGATGAGGCAGATGATACTTGATTTATATCATCTTGCAATAGCTTCAGATAATTAAGAGAACTACTCAAAGACTTATTACATTGACMGAATTCTGGTACAGCTAACAGCAATACGATTCACACTAGGATTGTCTGGCATGTAAAACTCATTTTAGCAGATACCAATGTGACATACATAAAACTGTCAGCCTTTATCTAAAAGACAGTCACCCACTTCATATTTCAAGTGCCAAATTAATTATATTTGACATTTAATTTATAACCTAAGGTATTTTAGATTTAAAACTTGACTATGATAACAGCAGATTAGAGCAGTGTTCCGTTTGACAGAATCGATTTTTCAAGTTATTTTCATTGTGTGTGAGGGKCTGGATCCAGATTTTTGTGTATATTAAGCTTGCACACAGGACACTGATACCTCTAAGCAAAGTGCGGTTCTTTCTCCTCCTCCCCCATTCCTGCTGCCCGGAATTATTTCACACTTCCAAGGGAGTTTYCTTCACAGTCCTAATCACAAAGCTCCACCTAATGGACTTATGAGTGAACTGCGCATAGAGAAGGAAGGGACAAGGACACAGGCATTGCTACCGAAAGGAAACCGCTATAAAAACTTGAGCAGTTCCAACTCCTTCAAGCAATTTATAAAGACCCATCTTCTAAGGATTAAAAAAAAAAAATTAAAGAAAAGATTTTCGATTTGTAAGAAAAAAAAAAGACAAAAAAAAAAAAAAAGCAGCTATTATTTTATCTTTCCATTGACTAAGGCTGAAATCTTCCTTTTATTTTCACTGATAGGTATTTCAATCCTAATACTTCAAAATGATGTAATGTTTTACCTTCTAGGAACCAGAGCATTAAAAAGTCAGAAATATGCAACATAACATGGAAAAGTAAGTACATATTTATTGTTAGATGATGTCAGAGATTACTGAAAGGAAAATCCTTTTTCCCTTACAGATTTCAAGAGCCTCAAACAATTAGCTTTTAATAAAAATAGCAAAATATTTATAACTTTTACSCTGAAACTCTAACACTGAAAATGAAGGCTTTCTCTTCAACTTTGAATATAACAGAGTTATATTCATTAGTATCACACTGAAATAGAGTAGGGGAACTGGCATCTCAGAAATACTGCTGGGGGAAAGGAGTTGAGGAACTAAACCAAGCTCGCAATGAACAACTGCCATCTTCCAGACAGAGCAATTTTGTAAACTGAAGCACTTTGCAGATTTTAATATGAAAGACATGACTGATTTCTGCAAAAACTGAAAAATTAAGACTTGATTTCAGAATGGCTCCCCGCTCAAAGGAAGACTCTGCAGCTACTGTTAAAACTTTTTTGTGAAGCAGAAAGCACGGGTGAAAAATTGCCTTGTATCAAGATATATATTTCAGTAAAGGACCAGGACACTTGTCAGGATCAGCTTATTTAAGAAGACTAACATCTCAAGCAATTTTCTTTATTGGATGAAGAGCAACTCATTATTTTTAGTACAAATACTGCACTAGTACTGGTACTTAATAGTCTGGTACTTAATACTGGTACTTAATAATACTGGTACTTAATAGTCTTGAGACTAGCAGTTTGATATTGATAAACAGACACACCCATCTAAAAATATTTTAGTTTCTAAAATTTATCACAGAATATAAAATTTATGATCAGACACAGAGGTCTTATGCTACAAAGGTCAATAAATGCCATTAACGAAGCACAGACATGGTAATGTGCAGTTAAATCTGTGTTTTCCATGACCAGCTCAGTTCTTGCAGCATGTATTTAACTTCGCTATTATCAGTATGACACCATTATTAGCCATAGCTCTGTTCCTTCCCTTCCTTTGATATACTTTGAACAGCAGGTATATGTTGGCGAAATTCTGCATAAGCTTCCTTCATTAGTTTCTTAATTTCTGAGCACCACACTACAACTTTATTAAGAGGATGCACTGAACCATGGAACCCGCTTCTACCAGCTGGCAAGATGTGAGAACCCTGCAACTTCAGAAAAGCAGCAATTCATTTTAATTCTTCTCTTATTCCCCAGGAAAAGGGCAGGGCCGGTGCGAACGCCGCCCCAGCGGCACCAGGCTACGCACAGCATACTCCGAGCCCGAGCCGCGCAACCAACGGCCACAACGGCTCCCGCCACGCCCAGGACGACGTCACAGCCTGGGGGCGTGGCGCCGCCCAGGCCCCACCTCTGCGCGCCAGGCGCGCATGCGCACTCTGGCAAATGCGGGGTGGTGGCTGCTGCGCCCTGGCGCATGCGTCCTTAGCGATGCGTGCCGCTTCCTCTCGGGCCTCGCAGCAGAGCCTGAATCAGCGCATGCGTCCGCTGAGGCAGGAGAGTGCTGATTGGGTGGCCACTGATTGGCTAGTCACTGATTGGGTGGCGGACTCCTGCAGACCAATAGCAGCTAAGATTCTTGAGGCGGTGTGGTGGYGCCGCCGACCATTGGGGTTGGTGGTTGTTGCGGGGTGGTGGCCGCGGCGCTCTCCCTCTCCCAGGTGGCGCGCGGCGGAGATGGCGGCCGCGGCGCGAGGCGGGACGGGGCCGCAGGAGCTGGYGCTGCTGGAGCGGTTGCTGGGCCTGCAGGAAGGGAACAAGTACGGCGTCCAGGGGGAGCGGAAGGTGAAGGGAGCGAGGAGGGGCCGGGAGCGGCGCGCGCGCGGCTTCCCCAGCGGCGCCTCCCCTCGTGCTTCCCGGGCGCCATTTCCGCGCTCCCAGTGCGCGCGGGGAGAGCGGCCTCTTCTCCGACAGGGGCGGCTTTTCCACCTCTCCTCTCCGAACCTTTCCCTCTTTCCCCTCCGCCAGCTGCGGCTGCAGGGTCTTGCTGTCCGTTCGCGGTTCCTGGCAGCATCCTGTTCCCTCTGTATGCCTAAAGACTATCGTGACCCTCTCTAAAGCATAATTCTGGGGAAAAAAAAACAAGTTAGTAGTTCTGTCTGACGGTAGTTTATCTCTCAGTGTGTATAGGGGGAAAGATGAATGAGAGCCACTGATTTTTAGATAAAAGATCAAGGAAAGAATTAGCATTGTGCTTTAAACCTCTTTTCTCTGTTAATGAAACTTAAACATAAGCAACTGCGTCTGTATGGTCAGTCTCATAAAGGSGGAGAGTGGAAAAGGGTGTCAGCTTTTACTGATAATTTCAGTAAATTGCATCACTTGGTGTCGTAAGCGGCTGTGCCTTTAGTCTGTAGTACTCAAGTTTTTCTTGTCTCACGTTGTTTTTCTTTCATACTCTGTTAGACTGTAGTGTTTGTCTGAAGTAGCTTTTAAGTCAAGCTGACATATTTATTAGTACTTGTTTGGCCCCTTAATATGTCAAGTCTGCAATGCATTTATGAGCAGTAAGCATCTTTGGTATCATTAAATGTTGCATTTGAATTGAAGAGGTTTTTTTTAATGGATATTCTTGCATATATGCGTTTTTCCTAAGCTACTTAAATGATACAAGAAAATCAGTTTAATGTACAGTAATGTCACTGTGAATCTGAAATTCACCTAAGATTTTCTTGGTTAATGTTTATAATAAAAGTAGTATTACAGAAGTGTGATATGTTGTCCTCACCTGGTGCGGATGAGATTTTGGTTTATCTCTGAGTATTTGGCTCTATGGAATAGRAAGTATGAATAAGCATTTCAATAAGTCCTGGCTGCTGTGATATGTTCAGAGAGATTGGATGCTTCTGACCTTACAGTTTTAGGCTAGAGCCCTGAATTTGACAATCAGTCTAYAGAATGTCAGAACAGAATCACAGAATTCACAGAATGTTCAAGGTTGGAAGGGACTTCTAGAGATCATCTAGTCCAACCCCCCTGCTCCAGCAGGGACACCCAGAGCACCGGGCACAGGGCGGCATCCAGAYGGGTTTGGAAGACCTGCGGAGAAGAAGACTCCACAAGCTCCCTGGGCAGCCTGTGCCAGGGCTCTGGCACCCTCACAGAGAAGAAGTTCYTCCTCACATGGAGATGGAACTTCCTGTGTTGCAGCTTACACCCAYTGCCCCTTGTCCTGTCACTGGCCACCACTGAGAAGAGCTTGGCCCCTTCCTCCCTACATCCCCCCTTCATGTACTTACACATATTAATCATATCCCCTCACAGCCTTCTCTTCTCCAGAAAACAGGCAATACTGTCTCTTGGTGATACTGGTATAGCTTTGATTATATTGAGTTAAAATATACTGGGCAAAATGTCTATTGGTCTATCCAAATGTATTTTTACCTGTTAGAGAAAAGGTATTTACTTATAAATTGCTTAGAAGAGTGAAAATAGAATATTTTCCTTATGATTTTACTGTCTTCAATGTGAATGCTTTTAAATGCTGCTTTATTGTGGTGGGTTTTTTTGATCTATTTTTAGGGAGATGTGGAGGGTCTGTAGGGTAACTATTCATTATGAGAATGCTTGAATTATATAGTTAAACTTTTTTGTCTCTCTCTTCTAGATACCTGTTCTTCAAACAAACAATGGTCCCGGCCTAACAGGATTAGTTACTATAGCTGCTCATTTAGTTAAACGGGCTAAGAAAGAACAACTGCTTGGAAGCACTGCAGAAGAAAAAGCTGTTGTTCAGCAGTGGTTGGAATACAGAGTGACTCGAGTAGATGGATGTTCTTGTGAAGAAGGTACTAGAGTAATTCTCAAGGTAAAGATTACTTAATTACCTTCCCACTGAATTTTGGACTGATTAGGCCCTAAAGGAGAGCAAGATGTGTGTATGAATAAATGATTAATAGCACTGAAAGCTTGATGCGTCTTTAATTATTGGCTTTCATAGTGATTTTATGAGAAATAYGGGCTTTTACTTTTATGAGAAATAATATATGAGAATAATATAAACTATATGAAGCTGAGCTCTACCTTTTTTTATGGGTGCAGTACTGTAAAATAACACATTCCGAATAGCTTAAAGAATGTTCATTTCTCTAGTCTCCCGTGAGACTTGTAAGACACTGATTTCTTCCTGTCTTAATAAGCTCCAATATAAGCAAATTGTTCTGTGCTTGTATTTCAAGAAAACTGCTCTGTGAGTTTTAAAAACTCATTTTCTTAGTTTGATAATATGGAATATAAGCTTGTACTTGACACTTTGATAATTGGTATGGGTAACAAAATGAGTTATTGGGCAGAATTGTATGTGAAATCATAAGARAAACCTGTGTAAAACTGTCCTTTCCACTGAGCTACCTCTGTATGGAGATTTTGGTCAGCTGTTAAATTGTTCCTGTAGTTTAATACTCAAGTCTTTCTTARAAAGAAGCAGGTGGAAGCAGAAAGAAAAAACTCAGGGATCACCMAGTTATTTCAGCAGCCAGATGGTAAGGAGTAGATTGAAAAACTTGCTCAATTTTCCTTCGTGACTAGGCAGATGATTCTGCCTAGAAGAAGGGTCCAGTACAAGAGTAAAAGCTGGTTAGGTCTTGACCCAAGCTTTGGGTTTTTCTGGTTATTTATTCTTTTTCTAAATTTTGAAAGTCTGTATAATTTATATTAAAAGTGCAAAATAACTGGCACAACTGACTAGCTTGGGTTCAGAAAAGYACAGAGCTGCAAGGTTTCGGAAAGGTTGGCTATACCTGAGGTTAGCAGAGTCTTACTTGAGAGATCTTCTCACTGCTGTCAGGTGTCTAGTCTGAGTCAGCTGAAATTACTACAGAAAGCCTTTAAGATTTAATGATGCAGAGGTGAAGGGAAAAAGTTAATGTCCTGTTTAACTTAAGCTGACAGACTTTGCTGCACTTTAAAATCCTGGGAAACTAAAGCCTTATTAATAATTGGTTGCCCTTGTCAAACTGACAGCCTCCCAGATATGGAGCAACATGYTTGACCAGTGTTAGAGAGGACTGCCTTGGGCAAGCTCACAGGATAGTTCTTCTCACAACTCRGATGATAGGAACTATCCTGATTTCATTGTATATGCAGGATATCCTCTGCTGCTTAAGCATGAGTGTATTTACATTTCTTCTCTTAATTGTAATATCACTGATTTTGCTCTCTGCATATGAATGCTTTGAAAATTTTTAGTYATGGTTACTCAACAGATACTAATCAATTATTTCCATTCTTAGAAAACTTCTAAATTTACCTGAAGTCATTGATGGTGTTAGCTCATTGATGAGGTTAGCTCAACTTCAAACAGGATGTAAAACGTCCTGTTTATGATAGTCAGAGGCTGCTTCCAACCTTATTTTCTCTGATCTTTTTTATAGAAGACAGTCCAACAATATAGTTATGTTAGCCATGTTAGTAGCAAGTTATTAATTCATAATTCATTAGATCATTATTGAATTCATAGTCTAAGTGGACACTTCACTTGCAAAAGTTGGCCTTTAAGGCCATAAAAGGTGAAGGAACCCCAATCCAGCACTAGCATATTAAARAGAACCATGTTGACTTTCTGTTTTTCTAGCTGATAGAGTTTCAAGGCTTATAGCAGATGTCTAGCTGGTACACATCTGTCTTGGAAGGCAGAGTATTTCAGTTCATTTCAGTGCAATTTAAGAACGAACAGAACCCCTTTTATGATTAATAAATTAAGAAAACTTCCTTTTTTTATCTGGACTTTTGACTGACTTCCACTTTATGCTGCTAGAAACTGAGAAGACCATGCCAGAATAAATTTTCCTTACCTTTCTTATCCTGTGTTATAAGTGCAGTAGGGAAGTTTTCTGTCTTGTTACAAAATAGATTTGCTCTGACTGGCTTAATAATGATAACTTTCTCAACTTGCACACCTGAAATAGATGCAAAACCATTTTTGAGTATTAAAACCAAGCTTAGAAATATAATGGTTTAATGATGAACTTATTTTTTTCTCTTTTATTTTTCTTTATCTTAAGATGCCAGTTAGAAAAGACAGTGTGGATATGTCTGAAATACTTCATTTTTCCACACATCTGTATTTCCAAACAGGACTTAACTTTGCTAGGAACATTGTGTCACTTGTACRAGTGACACAATACCTCTAAACCTCCAACCTTTTTRTTAGAACAAATAAGCACTTTAAAATTTTCCGGTTTTGTTTTTCATAGCAGATGGTGAACAGCCGGGATTTATCTCAACACAAGGGTGCTGTGGAGTTGTTCTAGTATTAATAACTTCACAGTATAGCAATTAAGATTTTTTTTAATTTGTTCTCTTGCTACCATGATTAATCAGAGCACGAGGCAGTCTACCATTAAAATATACTATGCCAAAAGGGAGTATAAAGGGGGAGGAAAAAAAGCAAGTCTGAGACTGTAGTTCTACAGTGTGTCTGGAATRCACAGTGGCAGTCTTGGGACAATTGCAGCCTAGAGCCACAACTTATTATAAGCTGTGCCAGAAACAGTTCAGTTGTTTCTGTTGTAAACCCTAGGCTGCTTCTATTCCTCTATTAAATGAGGTGATGTCTTGAAAAACTTTAGTAACTTTAGTAACTTTAGTAACAGACCATTTTTTTTAAGTACAAAGGTCTGTCTTTTTTAACGTTTTAAGAAAAAAAAATACAGCAATTTTACAGTAGTCTGTCCCATTCAAATTTTCTTTTTATTATTACCTTGAGCAAATGTCATACTTTTCAGAACCCATCAGTGTGTGTGGCTTTGTCTAAGTTCTTATTTGAGCTCTTTTACTGGACAAAGTAGAAGGATCGGTATCTCTGGGCTGTTCTGCAGCATACGTTGCAGTAGGAATCATGGTTGTAATTAATCCATTTCTGGTGCRTTTTGTTACTCGTTGTCTCTGTTCCTTCCCCCCAACATCCTTCCCCACTCTCCCCCACTGCAAGAGTATTTTCCATTAACTCTAGTCACTTGTGTGACGTTTGATTACTAAGAATTTTAAGTTGTACAAGAAAAAAACTGCAAAATGTTTGTGCTGGGTATCTTAAAGGGTGGTTATGCTTCTGRGGAGAAACTGAGAACCTTTTCAAAAAGCTTTTTTTGTGGTGGCACCAAATGTCTACACAGATGTTAATGAGTTGCATCTAGGGGGTTTGAATGTCTTTGCTTCATCAATTTTAGATCTTGAATGGAATTTTAGAACTTGAATGGGAGGGGAGAGGCAGAAAAAGTCTTTGGAGAGTTATTTTGAATAGAGGATATGATTACTTAGAATATAACTCTGTGCTGGAATTCCCTGAAAAGTTTGCAAACAAATGTAGAGAGCTCTCGTCTAACCTCTAGTCTCTAAAGGACAGCTAAAACCAAGAATGTCTGTATCACTTCAAATATATCACACAGCAGTATTTGGCATAATCTAGTGTCTTCTGATTGCCTGTTCTTTATGGCTGTGGTCACAAAATGCAATTAGAAATCTAAATGAGAGTATCAGTTACTGTTTATGCTGCTTTTTTGAAGAATTGCTGTTTCCAAAACCTGTGAGGCAAGCTAATCTGTATTGCATCCATACAGTTAATTCGGTATTTTGGTACAGTTAGTTGACAAACTTTCAAATGGGGTATCTACTCACATTGATGAGCTTGTCTAGCAAGTTTGTTTTTTAAAACTGAGCTAATTCCTCTCCCTTTTYTAGCAGTAGTGAGATGCTGTGCAATTAGAGTACTAGGAAGGTGCATTCTGAATATTTGAGCAGTGTTTGGTTATTTTTCCTCTGTTCTCTGGAGAAAAAGCAGCGCAGTGAATATAGTAGACCTGTAGACCAGTTTAGATCATAGTTTGCCTGTTATGCACCAAAATCTTGAATTATATTTCAAAGTATTGTTGCAGGGAAGAGGGGGGACTCTACCTCAGAAATGAACTTTTGTTGTATTCTTGTATCCTGTATTTTCAGAAAGCCATCAGTCCTTGAACATGATCTGTTGCCCCTGCATGGGGCAGTGTAAAGGCACCTAGGGCRTAAGTGTCACCCTGAGAATTACTGACTGAAAGGATGTGGATTTACTTTTAAAGGAAGTATGTTATGTCAGCATCAATGTTCTTATGGACAAAACATCCTTGAAACAATTAGCATTTGGTTAGATSACTGCAAGGTGCTGAGTTATTTTAAGAAGTGGTTACTTGTCTGAGCTGCAGTGATAGCCTTGTCCCAGCTTGTGGTGATTGGAAGGGAATTCGGTCATTTTATGGATTAGTTGGATTACAGGCAGTTGGACTAAATCCTCAAAAGACAGTAAGCAAATGTGGGCAGACAGAAGTGTGCTGTGGGTGGGATGTACTGAGCTGTTAGCTTAGATACGGACTGTAAATAGGACATCTGTTCCATAGAACAAGCAAATGCTAATCCAGGAGTCAGTCTGGAGATAATACAGTGTCTTTTCAGCTTTTCTTTGCTTTTTCTTCTTCATACTCAATAATGAAACTGCTGCAGTTGTTAAAAATTATTATAGTACTCAAGGTACAATTGCAGTGTATTTGCCTCAAACTTGAGGAAGACATTCCTGAGTGACCACAACAATAAGTTAATATTATTACATATGTTCATTTCTGCATTTAGATGATTTAGTTAATCTTGGAAGTTGCATGTAATTGGTTTAAGTAGTGATATTCAGTACATAAAAGACAGTGCTGTGAGTGGCAGCTAATAGATGTGAATTTCCCTGACATAGCAGTAGTTCAAATACAGTTTTGCATTCTTTTCTCCATTAATYGTTGTTTCCATTAATCTCTTCAGGACATGAAGACTATTTCAGTTCAGTGTCATGGTCACTTAATGTTYTCAAAAGTGAAGCTTTCTTAATATGGAAACTGTCACAGTTGGCTGTTAGGCGTTAATGTAACCATTTTAATGGGGCTTCTAACCTGTTAGAAAAGATTAACTAAATGCTCCTATTGTGCACGGGGGGGCGGAGGGGGGAAATATGTCAGTTTCTAAATTAACTTCTCTTTTAGAGAGTGTGTTCAGAACAGTTTACTAAATGTTAAGGGAAGAATGTGCTGTTCAGAACAAGAATTACAATTAATGCTAATTTCTCTAAGAGTAAAACCACATCARTCAAATTCCGTTGACTCAACTGAGTTCATAAAACTTGGTAAACCAGAGTAAAAAATAGATCACACTGTAGCTGCTTACCTTTATATTTTCAGGATATTCTTTACTGGTGACTATTTTGAGTATATGCTTTTGCAGTGTATTCAAAGAATGAACAAAATTCTTCTAAGTGTAATGCATCCTGAGTAACTTTGCAAACTGGTGTTTCTGTACAAAAATCCATTCACATTTTAAAGTTGTGTAAAATGAAAATATAACAGGATGCAACTTCTTTAATGGAGGAATTCAGGACTTTGACAAGTGGAATAACTTGGTTGTACTTTCTTAATTTGTCCAGCCTTTTTTAGTAAACTGAGCTATAGATTTTATTACTGCAAGTTTTTTTTTTAAACTTAATTTGCCTTTGTGTTGTCTGAATGAAATTCAGCTGTTAAGCTACGGAAATGTAGCTTAATATTTGACCCATTCTGAGAGCTGAGTAATATGAATAAATTGATAAACAGTCTAGAGGGAGGCAGGGGAGACATAGCCAGAGGTAATGACTTTACAGTGTTTTTTAGCTGTGTTGAGCTTAATATCRTCTTTTATTTGTTTTAATAAAAGAAAATCAGACATTAGGATTTTTAACTATTATAAATGTGTAGATGACCTGTCAAGAAGATGTCATCAAGGAAATGAAAAAGTAGTGTAATGGTGTCAGACTTGCCAATTTCAAATGCAAGGTCTGATGACTGATAATAAACCTAAAATACTGAAACTTGCATATGCACTCTAGAATCTCTTGTCTGTTTGAGACTTTATGGAACAACAACTGCAATACACTAAAGCTAAATCTATTTTTTAATCTGTAAAACTAATGATTAGTCACTTTTCCATGTAATAACTTTCTCTTTGAAGCAAAATTCTCCTAAAATGAAATATGCAACAATTGAGATTGATAATATTTTTCAAAATTTCTTATTTAAGTAGCTAGTCTTGAAGCTGCTTGTTTATTTCCAGAAAAAGATGGCACAAGAAAACTGACATGAGCATTGTGAGAAAAGAAGAAAAAGCAGTGCGCTTACTAGAGCAGTTTTAATCGGTAAAAGGCTATTAACAAGTTTTAAAGTAAAAGGAAAATCTAGGAAACTATTTTCCCATGTTGCTTAATTATAATAAAACTGAGGCTTCTTTATGTCAGAATTGGAGTTGAAGAATGTTTTGTTCGCTCTTCCTTTCTCCTTTAGCAGGAGAGAGGGGACAGTTTGGTGTATAAATTGGATGGCACATGAGGAAGCTGTGGAGGGTGGGAAGAGACGCTGCTTACACACAGCTAAAGCTCTACTGAGCTAAGTGATACCTTGTCTGTGTTTGGGGGGGGGTTGTGTTTATTTTTTTAAGAATTGAGATGTTGAATCTCAAATCAGCCTTCTGTTTTCTTGCAGAAAATGATTGATTGTATAAAAAGTATAGAAAGAGAAGGTCCTTCAGCACTACAGATTTGAAATATTTTATGTATAACTTATTTTAGTGAATCCAGTGAAATTCTCCAGCTGCTTGCCTGTTTAGTGTCTTTCATGGAATTGTTAAAAATCTTTCAGAGAAATGCCCTTAAAAAGCAAGTGCTGTGCTCTGCTCGGAGTAATTTCTGTAGAAACRGAACCAACAGTAGCACCAACAGTAGCATTAAGATTTGCTAGCAAATCTTAACCACGTTTGCAGTTCCAGAATTTTGTTGACTAGCTCCATTGTGTGTGGAATCCTGAAACGTGGAATAAGCTGCCGCTGTCGGAAAGGCAAAGTGCTGCCCTCTGAGCCTAGGGCTGTGCTCACCATTTACCAAGTATGTGCATAGAACCTCAGTGCTTGTGTCACACAATAGTTAAAAATCCACAACTTCAGCTTTGGAATTGGACTAACTTGAGGCCTGCAAAAGGTGATTTTGGAAGTATTTTTGTGGAATCAGCTACCAGTATAAAATAAACCACAGTGCTATATTTACAAAATTTTAAGTGAGGGARTTATGAAAGATTATATGCTAGCAGAGAACTGACTCTTTCTTTAGAGACTAACATTTAAATTCTATTCGGTTCTCACTTTGAAATGAGAACTATATTTTAGGTTATTATCTTGATTCTTCTGAGATTTTTCATCCTTTACTGAGTTCAGAGAAATTAAAATGATTGCTCATTTCACAGGCATGGTCTTTAGAGAATTTCTCAATTCTTTTAACAATGCTTTAATTTTATGAAATCATTTACACTTGTGTAATGACTTCTTCTCTTTTAGGATCTTAACATGTATCTTGAAGATAAAGTCTACTTTGCAGGAAACAACTTTACYTTAGCAGATATTTTGATGTACTATGGACTGCATCCCATCATGGTAAGTGATATTTGCATTAATTCTGTACTTACAACTATTCTAGTTGTAGATAAATCTGAAATCAATTCACCATTTAAAAAAAAAAGCGTATGATGACAATCTCAGGGTTAAAATTGAGATGTTTCTTACAAGATCTGCAAGTATAACTTGCTTTTTGGGGTTCACTTTTGATTTCTCTTAGTAGCTAAATAAGTGCCTGTAGCAGTCAGAGGGCTTTAGGTTTCTGTGTATAGCATAACATGAGGTTAACCTCTTTCCATGTGTTTCTAACTGTGAAAACAYTATTTGTTCAAATCTGAAACATTATAAAAATGTTCCTAGTGCTGTGACATGCAATTCAGTTCCCGAAAGACTAATGCATTTAAGTCATGCATCCTRAAATAGCTATGTTGAGAGAATTGATAAAAGCTCATAGATTACCATGTGAAAAAAAAAAAAGGCGGGGGACGGGGGGGGAGGTTGGAAAACAGTGCTTAAAAAAATAAAAACTGTGTTTTACAGAGTGGTGGTAATGCTGAAGTTCTTCAGTCCATGTGTAGCTCACGGTGTACTATGAAGTACTTATAAAGTATTTATTGAATTTGAACCAAAAGAGGAAATTTAAAAGAAAAGCAAGAGAAATGATTAATGTTTTGGTGTCTTTCATATGAATGTTAATGAGTGGACCTTCCCTTCAGGGGAATTCAATTTTACATGAGGAAAAAGTAAAGGAAAAGGTGACATATCACTGGGGTTTTTTGTTTGTGTATTTTTTATTTTTTTTTTTCCCCCCGGAAAGGCTTCATTAAAATGCCCAGTAAACTCCTTTGGTTGTCCAGAAGTAAAAATTTAAAAACTCAAAAGAGAGAGCCTGAAGCAGAGGAGTAGGAAAAGCAGCTTCATTTCAGAAGCTTCTTGAAATGTGTTAGAGTAAGTTACTTGTAATTAATTATGCAAGATTTTTTTATTTTGTTTTTAGGAAATACGTTGCAAGTGGTCAAGTAGATATGTTGACTGAAATGTCATAAATAAAATACTTCACATAATGGCTCAGGAAGGTGCATAGTTACTTTGAAATATCGATTGTATATGCTGTAAGGGACTAAGAGTACAAATGAGACACTTAAAAATAGGCAGGGGGAAATAAAGCATATTTTAAATTTGTTTGCTCTAGAGTAGGCCACCTAATCAAGGRAAAAAGATACAAGTTATTGCTTTGGGAAAAAGAACAGATGGTAAAAACAAATGACTTGGTGYTCCTGGGTGCCTACAACCATCCAGACACTACTTGGGACAAGTTTATAGTACAACAGCTGTTTTTAAAATGTTTGATTTCATGGAAGATCATTTTTGGACTCAAAGCTGTAAAGGGCAAATAATGGGCATGCCATCCTAAATACTTTCTATTTAGGATATATCTCTGCTTTTTGATGGACTGAGAACTTAACTGTCGCTGAGACAATTTTAATTCTCCTGAGTAGAACAGAGTATAAGACTTTAAATATCTTCTGTTGCACACTTCATTAAGAAGTTTTATACCTTCTTATATTGTCACTTGTGCTCTTTACCTGCTGTCGTATCTTCCCTTCTCAGTGTTTCTGAAATACAAATTTTACACATTTATTTCTGCTTTTTTTTCTCCCCCCTTTTCTCACTTCCAGTTATCTGTAGGGGTGGTTCTTAGGACCTGCATTTTCAGTGACTGGATGGGACCGTTGGTGCTTACTATCTATTTCTTCTACTGAACAACAGGAATTCCTCCTAATTCTTTGGTTGAATGCTTTGTATTCGTTCTTCTTCTTTGTACTTAWCAAGATGAGCAAAATAGTAATAAGTGGTTAAAAATCTGTACTGTGGGGGTTAGTACTTTAGTGAGATTCAGGTTCACAAGTAGCATTTCAGACTTCTTGCAGAGAATAGAGAGATTTTCAGTCTATGAATTAGAAATACACAGTTGTAGGGATGAGGCAGGAACTAATCCTATTGTTCTGCATCTTAATATAGGTCATAAATACTCTGAAAACATAATGTTTCATGTCATATGAAGTTCTATGTCTTTCTGCCTCCAGTAAAAATATAATTCATACTTTGCTTAAATATATATGTGGATTAATGTAGTAAGCAAGGAAGTGCTGCTAGGGCAGAGCATGAATATAGCTGAAAGCAGGTAGATGTGGCAGCACTGCTGAGAGATAGCTGTCAGGCAGTCAGTAAGTGTTAAATCCCCCATATGGGAACAAATTGTCTCTCATATCAGTTAACTTTTTTTTAACAAAAAAAACCCTTTTCATTTTTAAATGGAATTAGGCTTGTATTATATTGTTTGAAAGTACTTAAGAGAAATAATAAATAGAAAGGCTGATGCTGTGGCTTTTTTTATACCTCCTAAATTTTTGCAGAAGCAAACGAGTCTCAAATTTATGTATCTTAACTTCTTGAATAAGCTCTAGAAAACAGCTTCTCTGTGAAATTTCTGTCTGCAAATAGAAGCAGTCTCAGGCAAAGCCTGGAGGTTAATAAAATACAGTTTAGAAAGATGTTGTTTTCTCCTCAAGTCCAGAATACTAAAATTTGAACACTGGGAAGACTGGACTCTACTAGTATAGCATCCAGTTAATTTTTTTTCCTATSATGAATGCTTTTTTCCTGTAATAAACAGATCAGCATTAATTCTTTGTTAATATTCATCAATACACTGCTTAGTACTGACGTATTTGCTTTTATCTTATTAAATGACACTGGAAGTAGCTCTTAAATTACAATAGAAATGCCTTCTTTTAAAGAAGATGGGGGAAAAAAAAGGCAAATTCCTTTAACACCAGAATATAGGTCAGAACTGTGTGAAAGAATATGTGTTCTRTGAAATAGGATTCACATGTTTCTGCCATATCTGTGAGGCCAACTTAATCAGGTATTTAACATTTCATCATTTTCTTGATGCAGACCATTAGACAAATATTTTTAGACTTCTCACACATACCTGGGATTTGGRCATGGGAATTTATGCCTGTATCCCCAATGCTACTGAGAGCAAATATAATTAAAGTTTATGTATTTATAGCTCTTCTAGAAACTGTTCTGTATGCATTCTGTRATGACCACCTTGGTTACCCTTTATGAGATTTGTGATGGAAGACTAAAGGTTTGTTTATCATTTAAAAAAAAATCTTCAAATTGAGACTCTGCTTCTTTGCTATTAAACTAATTGCCTTAATAGCAAATAATTATTTTAATAGCAGAACAGCAGCCTTTCTTAACTTGGGGGAATTATCTAATTTAATGAGGAAGAAGAGAAAATACCCATCTAACAATATTGTAAAAATGCCACGGAAGTGATCTCTAAACAATTAACCTAAGAGTTATGTTCTGAGTAAAAGTAGAGCATACCACAAAGTGCTTTTTAATATATTTCACTGATAGAGTACATTATGTAAATAAGTAACAATATCTTGCTTGTTGTGCCTGGAGTACAAAAGAGCTGCTTTTTTATCATCTTTTTTTTTTCACTAGAGTAGCTGTCTATTTTGCCCTTGAGAGTTACTTTTTATTTAACAAGCAAAATACAGGACTAGTCTTCCATACTTTATCTTTGATTTACATGGGGGAAATGTAAGTTTGAGAACTATCATTGTAAAAATACAGAAGGTATATACAGTATCTGCAACAGAACCCAAAGTAAAACTTCACATTTTTATTATTGAGTCATTATCCATTTAATTTTAAAAAAAATTATAGTTCTATCTCTGTACAACAATCATTACCTTGAAATGTTACAGTATTCCTAATACCTGCYTATACTTAAATACCTTTTCTTATTTTCAGTAATTTCAAAAGGCCTTAGGGTGGGTGTCTGCAGCTTTCTGTATGTTCTCTGTTGCTTTTTTAAATGGTTCTGAAGCTCCATACCAAGCATCAGATTAAAATTACTGAGGTGTAATGAACTGTACTTGATCAAAAGCATCTTCCCCCTAAATTTTGTTGCGCCCTCATTGTGCCCTGAATATGTGGTACATTAGGAACTTAGGGTAGCTTATGAAATAATCTTAATTTTCAGAAGCACTTAGTGTTATATTTAAATACCTTTTACCTTTTTATTGCAGTACCCCTAAAAATGACCTAGAAACCTTTTATTGGCTTCTCTTGTTCACTTATCTATGCTAATTAGCCTATGTTTCTAGCTTAGCAAAAGTAAAATCTTTCAACAAGTTTTGTAACAAGATGATAGTAACAAGATATGCTAGTAACAAGTAAAGGTTCAACAGTTTTCTTCTATACAGCTGAACCGTTGAACAGTTGAAAATGGTATAAGGTTTTGTGCAAATTTGTAGCAATGTGCTGGTGCTCTGATGGGTGAGTTCTCTAGGAGGAAGAGCTGCTTGTTTTCAGAAGCAGCTGTAAGATCCCTGCATCTCAGTTGCTGCTGTTATGCTGCCGTCTCTGTCATTAATACAACTCTACATTATGTGGCAGTGGTTCAGACTACACCCCTGCAGTTTTTGGCAACTCATTCATTCTCTTCTCCCTCAACGTAGTTCTAGCATCCGGTGTTATATCCTTATTCATTTGTTTCTACATGATTAATACTTTCCAGTTCCAAGCCAAGCAAGAGAACAGTAAAGGGAAGCAGTAAGTGTTACAGCCTACCCTTGAAATCCGATAGGCTGGATTGTTGCAGGTGAAGTTTAGTGTTAAGACTTAATTTTGAACACCAGCTTTTCCCTCTTTCTACTGAATAAATGAGTTTGGATATCTCATTTTGCTTTTGATTTAAAGTTTGTTGGAGCCGGTTTCTTGCCAGGTGTCCTGGGCCCAGAAACAAATTTGGAATAGACCTGTATTTACCATGAAATCTGGTGTTTATACCACAAGGAATATAACATCTGTTTAGCTTCTGAGGAGGGAGATTAACCCAACTTAGCTTCAGCAGTCTAAATATAGAAGTAGGCACATTCAGCTTTTGATTCCTCTGTTAGAACTGACCTCTCCAGGTGTGCCTGCTGCTTTCCATTTCTGTGTGAGATGTCAAGATGATAGACTCGCTGGCTACTGTAGCTAGCTGAGACTGAAATGAGACAAATCTATGCTGAATGAGACATGAGTTACCCTATCACAAAAATACTTAAGAAGATTGATTTCTGATGCTTTTTTTTTTTTTTGGTAGTTGATTTTGAAGCTTATCTCATTTTTAGGGTAGTTAACATGAGGAGGGATATTACTGCCTAGACCAACAAGTTAACTTGGTTGCAGGGGACTTGCACCTTGAAATTGCTAATAAGGTGAAGGAGTATGGGTGAGGGAGAGTTATTACTATTATTGCTTCCATTAAAAGAAGATCAAATCAATAAGAAATGAGCAGTCTAGTTGGTGGTTCTACTACTAAGTAATATAAGACTCTGTAGAGAATCTTYAAGGATGTTGATGACTGAACATACCTTCTGAAGTCTCCAAAGTTACTCCCCTTGTTGTACTTTATAATGCTAGAGTACTTTTAACATAAGGCTGGATCACACAAATATAAAAAAGATGTAAGTTCTTCATTAGTCGCGCTCAGAACTCCTGTGGCAGGGAGCTGTTGCAACAGCTGGGGCTTCCTCCTGACTCTTCCTTTTGTGGCTGTTCCGATCTCRGATAAACTAAACAAGTTCCTCAGATCTTAGCCTGAGATCTCTGAGCAACCGGACCTCACTTTTTGGGACTAATGATACTATTTTGAAATGCTTGTATGGACATATTTTAAAATGTTTGTATGGACAGATTTTGTTTACTGTGGTACCACAGTAATCTATATCATGCWATTGCCTTAATTACTAATAATGTTAGCACATTTGAACAGTTGGGTGACTTCTATGCCATCTTGTCTTAACTATCTTGCAACYGTTAATCAAAATAGATGATTTTTTTGTTTTGTTTGTTTCATTCCTGTTTGAATGTGCCTGAAGAGAGGGTTAAAAGTCAGYACATTTATTACAGCCACCTTAAAATGCAAAGTTGGTCACTGGGCCTGTGAGGCAAGAACACTTCCTGGGTTGGAGGAATTTCAGACTGCACTGTGTATTTTGTGAAAYTTCCCTCATAAACATATTTGGCTAGTGGTGTTAAATTCAAACTTTTTAGCCTTCCAAGTGTATCTTACAAAAATGCATTCCACACTCCAGTTCTGTTCCTTTAAAGTAATGCAGATTGTAGTAGAAAATACTAAGTTTTAAAATAAAGATGTGGATTTTAAGGTGTGTAATTAACATGGAACACTTGGTCAGTCAATTTCTTCTGCTTCTTGAAATGAGAAGCTATCAACTTTAAAAGCTATCAACTTTACCTTGCCACAGGCTATGACACTGCTGTAATTTGTGATGCTTTCTATTTCTTCACCATGCAGGCTGAACTTTCAGTGCAAGAAAAGGAGAAATACCTGAACGTGTCTCGTTGGTTCAACCACATTCAACATTATCCAGGTGTCCGACAACATCTTTCTAATGTCATCTTTGTCAAGAATAGATTATATACTAATGCTCATTAAGGAAAAAAATTGTAATGTTATACTGACATGGTGGTTGGTAATTTAGATGTTACACTGTCCAAAACCACTAACTTGCAAGTACTGGTTTGTAACCTTATGTATGTGAACCAAAACTGTTGATGCCTCAAATAATAATATTGCATTGAATAGCTGTTGTTTGTCAAGAACTKGAACCAGTAGAATTATATTGTGTATCTGATTAAATTCAACAATGATGGAAAGATGAAAACTGAGCACCAGTTTTTAATTCACTATTTTTTTAAAAATAAAATGTTCTTTTAGTTGATCAGAGTCAACTGTAGTGGCACAGTCTTTGGCATAGGAAAGAGGTATTTCTCTTCCTTCAATATTCACTCCTTTTTGCTATTTATTGAATTTTTACATCTGTCCTTCATTGTTTTCTTTTTATTTTCCATGGATGTTTACACTAGTTTTATAAAAGTTCAGAGCTATATTGTGTGCCAAGGATGTGAAAAAGGGAACATGCAAATGTTACAAAGTATTTATGTGACCTAATAAATTATTTTAAAACTCTAGACTTAATTGGCTGTGATACTTTGAGTTTTTCTTYTAGCATAAAAAAAATCAGAGTTTAAGAGTAAATTTGCTGCTTCATTTTTTTGATAGATAAACTTTTATTTTGACACAATCACTTTCTTTTGGCCAAGGTAACAATAGGGTTATTCGGAATTCTGCATTATTTCATACGATAGTTCTGCAGAAATGAAAAGGCAAATTTCAAGGTCTTTGGGAGAAAAAAAAATACGTACTCTGAGGTAATAATGAACTAGTCTGAGAAGTACATCTCAAAATAAGGACAATGTTGTATCATACTTCTGACTTTTTTTTTCTCCACTGTAAGAGTGGTACTTTTTTTTTTTTTTTTCAAATTACCAAATGGAAACATAGTGGCTCAAAATGGGTCTCTAAATCAGGGAACTCTGCTACACAATTTTAGTTTAACATTTTGAAGAAAATACAAAATATTTAGCTGAAACTTGTATATTGGTTTTTGCATCAGTGTTCAGCAAACTATTTCAGTGGGCCTTGTGCTCAGCAACTGAAGAAGTGCACGTTTTTGTCTTGATGTGGTGCTACTTGAAGAGCCTCCCACTAAGAGAAGTGGACACAAACATTGTGGACAGCTGTTTACATGCACACCCTTCCATATTTTGAGTGAGGGAGGGTTTAAATGGAAAAAAAAGTAGGGTGGGTAAGTAGGAAATGAGATGAAATAAATTGTATTCTAATGCACACTGAGGAAGTGGAAGAAAATGGTACAGGTGATCTTAATTTGGGCCTTTCCAGACTCTGTTTTTGTATACACATTTCTTAGAGGACTTTCAGGCACACTACTGCTTTTARGAATATCTTGTTTTAAAATCTTTTTTGCTCTAAAAAGGTTTTCACTGCACCTGAAAAGAATTACTTCTCAGCTTCTGCATTTTCTGCTTTTGTTGGATGCTTTTGTTCCTCACAATTTAGAAGCAGCCCCATGCATGCTTTTGTAAGTATGAATTATAGTAATTTGTGTTATAGTATTCCTATGCCTATTTAATGCTTTTGAAACACCAAAAACAATTTAATATGGAGCTTCTGGAGAAAAAAAAAGAATGTGATTTTTTTTTTTTTTTTTTTAAAMAAAAGGATTAAACTGCATATTTTTTTGTGGATCACTAGTGACCTTAAACTTTTCAGAAATTGATGGTCTCTATAGGGAGATTGAGAGTGGATAAATGTTCTACTGYTTTTAAAATTGCAATTCCTTGGCTCTCTGTTTCTGTAATGGTTTATTATACATTCATTAAACATTACTAAAAGCGACTTTCCTCCCTTCCACCCCCCCCCTTAAATTTTTTGTTGCTGCAGGGCGCAGCAAATAGCGTGATGTTATTTTACTTTCATTCCTTCATAATTTGAAGATGGTGACCACAGTGATGTGTGGGACTTATTTCCGCAGCATTTCATGAACAGTGACACTCTCATTTGTTAATATATCTCATCATTGCAGTATTATTATTTTGCATAATTGTTCTATCTAATTTATTCAAGGGGCCTGACATGTTATGGTGTTTTAAGTATGTGCCCCTAGGACTTGGGGTTGTTGCCAGATGGTGAGACAGTACTGCATGACAACCTTTCTGCAGCTGAAGGATTCAACGGTAGAATAAATATGATTATCTTAAATATTCAGTGAAAGCTTACACTTATACCACTTTGGCTCAGCTTTTTTCACCTTGATGCCAAGGTGACTGTTGCTTGCAGAAAAGCTGGCTGAAACAGATGTTTGCTCAAGTATTGCAGTGCATATACTAGAAATGGGCTGATGATTTTTAAAGTTTTGGTTTGTTTTTCTTTTAGACATGTAAGTTCAGAGTTAGAATTTAGCTTAACTTTGAAATTCGTTAGGGCCAGCTGTTGCATAGAGTTTTACAATTGCACAACAATGATTTATAGAAAAATCCAGATTTAATATGGAAGCATTAGAGAAGAGACTGATTAGGAATTAGCAATTTGAGAAGGAAACCTGTGTTACGCTTAGCAAAATAAAATGCTTCTCATTTTAGACCAAGATACTAAGAAAACTTGACCATTCAGATAGAACCAAAATGCAGGATTTTCATCACAACTTTAAAGAGTTTGTTCATATTAACATAAAYGTGTTAACACTTTTTTGTCAAATTCCTTTTGTGCCATTAATTATTTACGTACCAAGTAAGTATCCTAGTTTTTTGTACAGAAACCAGGCTGTGTACATACCACCTCTGGTTAACAATTAAAACAGTATCTTGAAGCAAGTTATGTTACATTTTTTCACTCTTCAGGGCTTTCAGAGGTTTCTACCTAGTAAATTGCCAGCTATTCTGTGGGCAGGTTTCATAACATCTGGAGAAGTAAGAATCCTAGTTAGTCTGTAAAGTATGATGTCTTATCACTTCATTTTTCTCTTCTGGTCCTTCTCTGTGTTCTATCCAACCCTCTTCATAATATTTTTAAGCAGAAGGAGCTCTTCCGGGAATTAATTTCTTACTACTATCTGATACTTCACAAGAATGTGGGAATGTGTCTTTGTGAAGGTAAATCTTAAATTTACTAGTAAATGTCAAGGCTTACTGGGGTATCTTGATACAATGTGTCTTCAGTCTTCCCGTGCATATGTTTGCGTATATGCGTGCACACAGAATGGCTAATGTATTTTAAATTATAGTTGTGGAAGTCATCAGATGGCAGCTGGGAGTCATCCAGACTCATCAGTATGAGTGTGGATCCTGTGTATAAGCAAGCAGTTGAGGCTTTAATGAGAGATTTAAGGTGGGGATCAGCTTTCTGCATTCAGAGACACTCTTGTGAATATTTGCCTTTTTCTACAAAAATGTGGTTTAAAAATGTTAACTTGCTTTTATCTCCAAAACAAACTCAATGCACATAGAGTTCTAGAACCTGGGTATCCAATGTTCTCTTGGTTAAATAGCAATAGATGGTCTAAAGCCTGTTCCTCCATGCTTTGACTTTGGAAAAATCTTGTGAAATTTACTTACAAAGGGATTATCTGAGAGATGAAAAGAGAGTAACTTAGTTGCAGATGTAAAATCATTATCAAGGAATGCAGTATAAGCTCTTCCTTTCAGCGGTCTAGTTCATGTTCTTTCTGATCTGCTAGCATCTTCTGTTTCTGCAGCTATATTGTGCTTTTCTGGTACGTGGGTGCTGAAGCTGTGAATTGAAAGATTATCATGATTTTTCTCCAAGTAAATTTATCTTTCTGGGGCCATAAATTGGTTTTTCTAGATGCGTATGGAATCTAATAGGTTTTTTTTTTCTGTAGTTGAAATTTGGAGGAGGAAGCTGTAAGCCTGTTTGATTTTTTTTTTTTTCTGAGTTTTAATTTTGTCATTTTTTTCATCTTTGGAGTGTTTCATAGTCTTTGACTTCAGTGATTGGAGTGATTCAGCTGTTCACTGGAATAATACATATACTATATTCCTCCTAAAAACACTATTTTTTCTTTGCATCCATAGTTAGATCATGCTGCTGCTGTCCGTAATCATAATGTCAATGTTTCATATTCTCTATATAGCCAAGCATGTGCTTACACACTCAGTAATCTTAATTTTGTTCTCAGTTCATTGAAAGTGAATTTTTCTCCTCTCGTTCCTGTGCTTGGGTTGAACACTACTGCAAAAGAAATGTTAGAGGAGTTGCCATCATATGTCTCTGCTGCACCGAGTTTTTAGTTTCACATTGGCTTTTTGTTTCCCACTGCTGCATGTCTTGAATATTGGATTTATCGTTCTTTAGACCTCAGCTCTAGGGTGACATGTAAAGATATCATAGATTGGGGAGATCATTTGATTTTGTAGTAGTGGTTACTTGTTGCCGCTCTGCGCGCATTCCTGCAGGCATTGCCTCTATTTCCTGTGCTGGTAGTGACTACAATAATGCCAGTTGCTGCAGAACAGAGCCAATCTCGTCTCTCTGTGTGCGGGCAGGAGGGAGCTCGGTAATWCTTCATTGTTGTTGCATCTTAAGGATTCCCCTCCCGCATTACCTTGGCCCCTTCAGGAAGATTTTCATCTATTAAACTTTCCTTTCTCTGTTGGAGGAACTAAATCTCTTTCAGCGTTTGCAGGCTGGTGATCTAATTTGACAGCTCGTCCGTGATGTCTCTTCCACTTCAAAGAGGCAGGTAGCCTAGGGCTAGCCAGCTGTATTGTGGATTCTGCAGATTTGGCTTGCTGTTCCTGCTGGGTGTCATCTGTCTTCTTAGTCTTGCGGTGGATAATTTTTGTCCTCCCTAGCATCATCTGCCTGAGCAGTTTCTGCCTGGCAGGCCTGTCTGTCCAGGTTGAGCATCAAATACAGTCACTGTCGAGCTAATCTGACAAGGCACTGCTCCAAACAGCGCTGCCCCGGGCCTGCTTTGACCAGGATCAGCATCACGGCCCACAAACTTCCAACTATCACGATTGTGGTCCCAGTCTTCCATCACWGATGCAGCCCATGGACTTACTCTGCTCGGGCAGAGTATGTCCCCCGCTCCTCTCTCTTAAGGGCTGTCAGTGCGATCGCTCGCGTCTCCGCAGAAGTCTGCCTCAACAGGTTTGGGTTTCCCTGCCTGTTGCCAGCGTTTGACTTGGACACCGCCGCCTGGATGAAACAATCCTTTAGTGGATTATCATCGCGAGACAGCCTGTGGGAAAAATGACAGGACTGGGCACGTTCATCTGAAGATTTTGCAATTCGGGATGCAGCTAACGCTAATAGTAAATGGCACAGTGATCCCTAAAAGAGAAAGCGGGTTCCATTGCAAGGCAAAAGTGACATAATGTGTTTAGTGTATCTTCCAGAAAAATACATGATGACTACATATGTTGATTTTCATGCCCCAAGCCATAGATATTTYCATATTTTTATGACTTGATGACTATTTCCTACAAACTGACAGGTTAAGGGYTGTACAACTATTGTCTTTTTATAGTCATCACCTCTTTAAGTCCTCCTTAATTTTTTAAATATGTTTTGAGAATAAATTTGACAGGGCAGTGAGGGCAAGCAAGAAAAAAGAAAAGAAACAAAAGAAAAGGCATAAATGTATCAAATCATGTCCTATATATATAATCTATATACATATTCATAGGAGAAATGGTTTCAAGACAGCACTCCTGGAAACCAGTGCACTTATCTGTCACAGTATTTGCCCTTGTTTCAGTCTTGCAATTCAGAACCTGACAGGGTTCATGATGTAAAAAGTCTTTCCTAGAAATGCAGTATTTAAAAGTCCTCTAACTACAGAATTTCCTCCTTAGCAAATAAAAAGATAGCCAGAGCCTATGGCTGAGAGGGTGATTTAACTTGTCTGAGAAGGAGACTAATGCTTAGAAGGGACTGTATGTAGAGTGGGAAAGAAGAAAAAAAATTTGAGCAATTCTATCCCTAGTAATGACTGATCGTCAAGCCAACTGGAATATCCTACTGTAGGAGCACTCATCAGATTTGTAGGTGACTGGTACTTAACTCTGGGTGCAAGTGAAAAATGTAAATACCAATGTATAGGTTGCAAGTGATGGTTATTTTTTGGAGAGTGAAAGAATCAGAAATTTTGATCTTAATGATTTGTATCCTTCCCTGCTAATTATTGTCTATTTAACCTAGCAATATTTATAGACTATGTGAAYGAAAAACCATTCTTTTAGCCTATGTAATTATTAATCTAATCATTGTAATTGAAGTATTCAGTACTTCCCAATGTTTCATATTATTACTCAAACAGGTTTTAGCTATGTTTTGACAACTTAAAAATACTGGTTTCAGTGAGCAGCTCTAAGCTTTGTGCTTCRGGACACAATTTAATGACAGGGTCACATTTGGAAATATGGGGGAGAAAACAGTATGAGGATTTTTTTTTTTTCTGCTTCCTGTTTAAGACAGTGGCTGCTACTTAAAAAATGGAGGGTCAGAACCCCGTGGAGGGTCGGAACGTGCCCTTTGAGGGTCAGAAGTCGCCCGTGGAGGGTCAGAACGGACGGAACGCGCCCGTGGAGGGTCAGAACGGACGGAACGCGCCCGTGGAGGGTCAGAACGCGCCCTTTGAGGGTCAGAACTCGCCCGTGGAGGGCCCGAACTCGCCCCGCGCGAAGGGAGCGGACCCTCCGTCTCCGCTGCGGTTGCCGCAGCAACGGCCGCCGCCGTTGGTGGGGCGGGGCGGGGAGCGCGGCGCTCCGCGCGCGGAGATGACGTCGCACCGAGGCACGCGAGCGAGGCGGAAGCGGCGCGGGGACGGGCGCCATGAGCGGGGGTGGCCCCGCGTCCCCCGGCGGCGCAGGGGTCGCGTCGCCGCCCGGCGAGCGGAGGCGGGAGCCGCTGGCGGCCGGGAACCCGCTGCAGCCCATCATAAAGGGTGGGTAGGCCGGCGGGGCCGCGGTGCGGAGCCGGGGCTGCCCGCTGGGCTGCGGCGGAGGGAGGGCCGCCTCGTTGGGGCCCTGCTCTGGGTTCCTCCGTAGCCGCTCTCCGCATAAAGCGCCCGAGCTCCGGAGCACCTGCGGTTTGTGCTGATTAATCTCTGTTTGGAAGCAYTGAAGCTTTAAGTATATTTTTCCTAAGCTCTTTGTAATGTAATCACGTAGTTCCCTGTATTTGCAAGAATCCTTCTGCACTGTTTGTTGTTGTTGTTGGGGCTGGTTTCAGGCTGTTGGTTCAGGCTGTTGGTGGAGGGCGAGGCAGGGTAGTTGCTTTGGACGGCAGCGCTGGGTCAGCACCAGCCTTAGGTGCGTGTGGAACCACAGGGTGTTTTTGCTGGACTGGTGCTCCTTTGACACGCCACCAGAGCTCTCGTAAAGTAAGCATGATTTTCCTTTGCAGCGGCCARGTGTATTTCTCCTGTTTCGTTTGCACACGTATGTGTGGATGTCATACGTACAGACATGCATGCATATCCCGTTGTAAAGGTATCTTTAATTTCCAGTTCTTGAGCTCTGGGATACAGGAACAAGAGACCATTAACGGTTTTCCCATGTGGTGAACTTTCCTCGTGTCTCACACAGCAGAAAGCTCCCGTATCTTAAACTATGGGTCTCTGTAGAACTATGTCTTTAGTTCAGCACTGCCTCAAATTTCTATCACTGTCAGTCAGGTGTGGAAGCTGTGTATGGAGCAGGATTGAAACAGAGGGTGCTGAGACACCCCACGGGCACTGGGGTGATGGTGAAGGGCCTGGAGGCCCGCCTGGGCTTCTTGATCCTGGTGGGGCTGGGCAGGAAGATCCAGCGGATGCTGGGGATCAATGATCTTTTGCACAGATGGTGTCAGCAATACAGCTTCTATGACCACAGCTTCCTGAGGACTGGAAGAAAGTAAATATCACTTCTGTCTCCAATAACAGCAAGGAAGAGGATCCAGGGAGCTATAGACCGGTCAGCTTCACCTTTATCCCTAAGAACATGAAGGAGCAACTAATCCTAGAAACCATTTCTAAACATAAGGAGGACAAGAAGCATGAAATGACGATGGGGAAATCAGGCTTAACTAACCTGATAAGCTTCTATAAGACGAGTGGCCTGGTAGATGAGGGGAGAGCAGTGGGTGGTGTTTCTCTTGGCTTTAGTAAAGTTTTTGACACCATCTCCTGTAACATGTTCTCAGGAGGAGGAAAAAAAAAAAAAAAGCTGAAGTAGGGGTAGGCAAGTGAACAGTGAGGCGGAGTGGGGCCCACCACTGTTTAACATCTTGTTAATGACCTGGGTGAAGGGACAGAGTGCACCCTCAGCAAGAYCCCAGCTGATACAAGACTGGGAAGAATGRCTGATGCACCCTGGGGTTGCGCTGCCACTCAGAGGAACCTGGACAGGCTGGTGAAATGGGCAGGGAAGCAGCTCATGAAGGTGAGCAAGGGGAAGTGTCAAGCCCCATCTTTGGGGAGGAAAAGGCCCCTCCCCAGGAGAGGCTGGGGACCATCAGCTGGGAGCGACTTTGCAGAAACAGACCTGGGAGGTCCTGTGGACAGCAAGTTGTCCATGAGCCAACAGCGTTTCTCTACACCAAGAAGGCCAACCACTTTGTGGGCCACATGGCCATGAGGTGGAGGGAGGTGATCCTTCCCCTCTGCTGAGGCCCATCTGGAGTGCTGTGTCCAGGTCTGGCCTCCTGGTACAGGAAAGGTAAGGATTAGCTGAAGAGAGCCCAGGAAAGAGCTGCAAAGATGTCTAAAGGATTGGAGGATCTCTCATTTGAGGAGAGACTGAAAGAGATGCGATTGTTCAGTTTGGAAAAGAAAAGAAATGAAGGAACTTACCGTGTGATGAGATGGGAGAGAATAAGGGAGATGGAGCCAATTTTTCTCTCTCCCTCTTTCTCTCTTCACTGTGAGGGTGATTGAACACTAGAACAGGCTGTCTGGAGAGGTGCTGTGTGTCCTTGGAGATGTTCCACGTGTGACGCGAGAGGGTCCTGGGCAGCCTGCGCCAGGCACCCCTGTTTAGCAAGGAGGCTGGACAGGGTGAGGGGCCTCGCAGCACCAGCCCTTCTGTGCGGCTGTGAACGCCGACCCTCACACAGAGAAGTGTGGTGTGCAGTGTATTACGTTTACTAAGCTGGCAGTTTGCTGAATAGATAGAGTATCCGAGGGATGTTATCCTGCTTTTCCGTGTAGATTCATAGGTGTCTTGTTAGCAGTGGTCCCTCTTGCTTTTAAGTGTTACGTACTGCATTGTGTCATGTAGCCTCGTATTGGGTGAGTTAAAACTAAGTTTTGTCTTCCTTTAATCTTCTAGAAGCTGGGGAAATTCATTCAAGGCTGCTCGATCACAGACCAGTAATTCAGGGAGAAATACGTTACTTTATTAAAGAATTTGAAGTAAGTATTTTTATCTTATCATGTGCTGTAGCTTGTCAGAATTTGAAACCTTAAACATTTTTAGCATCTTTTAAGAGAATATAGTATGAATGTAAATTACTTCAGAAAGATCTGATTTTTCTTACACTCTAGGGAGATCTAATTTGCTCAAGAAAAAATATTGCTAGCAGATATAGGAGGGCATCTGAACGAGAAACAAGCTTGTGCTTTAGCTGCATTCATCTCGCACAGCTGTCCTTTAATTTTGCTCTATTTTTTGTTCTGTAGAAGCATGTAATATTACTGGAAGAGCATGAGCTTTTATTAAAGTTAAAAAAAAAATGTTCAAAACAGGATGGTTGGCTGCAAATAAGGTTGACATACTAAGAGTGTAGAAGATGTTTTATATACAATCTTGCTTTTGGAGCTGTAATGCAGTTTCCACAAGGTGGCAGCAGAAGTTTAGAAAAGTAGAATGCTTTGCTGATTAAAGGCTGTTACTAAATGCAGTTCTTCATTCTTAAATAATATGGAATTTAAAATCTTAAAATTAGTACTGAAAAAATATATAATATATAGTACTGCTAGTATTCTAGCGTGCAGAGATTATTACGATTTTCATTTAGTGCAGCTTTTGTTTCCAGTTATAGTAACATTTCAAGTATATCTAGTTTGTCTCTCTGGAGGATAGGCAAATAAGAATGCAAACGAATGCAGGTTAGTATTATGTGGATTTGAGTTTCGTAAGGAATGATATGTCTTCTTTGATTTTTTTTTAACCTAAATTATAGGGTGCAATGATGACTTTACATGACTTTTCATAGGAGGAAATTCAAACATGGATTACAGAAATATAAAAGCTTTCTCTAGCCTCAGAACTTGATTAAATTCATGCAGCTTTCWTGTATTTAAAATCTCATTTTCTTCCTTACAGAGATTTCAGGTATTTTTAGCTCTATGCTTGAAATTTAATATCTAGTTTATGCTTTAGTAAAGATTTTTTTGATGTGAGTACATAGATTTGTGTTCAGGAAGACCGGAGCCTACTTGTGGAAGCTCCTTGACTTCTCTGTGTCTCTGTTTCTGAAATTTTAAAACTGATGTAGTAATAATGTAGGTGATGTGCAGTGTTTGATTGTTTATTATTGCTTATTATTATTGATTAGCAACTTGTAGTACAGGAATGTTTATCTGCAAGTCTACCTCTAACCTTAAAAAAAAAATCCTTTTTTGCATCAGTGAAAAGAGTCTTATTTGCCCTGCTTTAATTCCTCACCGTATGAAATCTGGGAGGCCAGACATCAAGGAAGTAGTATCACTGCAATACTCTCTCTCCATAACAACTCAGTTRCAAAAATGCTTCAAATTATAAAAGTGCTTTTAAACTCTTGGTTTTGATATGCAGCTCTGTATTATGGATTATTATATAAAACTTTTTTTGTAATAATGTTTTATCTATATAAAACATTATTTTATCTGTCATTTTAAAGAAGTAGAGTGAGGCTTTAATACATAATAGTACGGTCTGTTGAGATAAAGCTACTAGTTTRTTAACTGGGGAAACATTTTACCAAGTGGAATTGCTCATTAGACATTGACTCATCAAGTCACTTTATCTTGTATATCACACATTAAAACCAGATAGATTATATGTGTAAGGCAGGCCAAGGAGAATCATTGGAAAGGTTGGAAAGTCTCACTTCAAATAAATATTCCTAAGTAARGCCACAGAGAGCAACAGCAAATGAACACCACAAAATATAAAGGTCCTTCCTCTTTCACTCCTTGTGGCAGGAAAAACGCGGCCTCCGGGAGCTGCGAGTGCTTGAGAACCTGAAGCACACCGTGTCCGAGACAAAGGAGCACTCCCTGCCGAAGTGTGAGCAGGCGATGCGGGACAATCTAAATGAAACAGTCAAGAGATGTAAGCAAGTGGCTTCTTATTCTTCTTGTTGTGCAGTTTTAAAGAACAATGTACTTTGGATTTTGGTTTCAAATTGGATTTGTGGAAGCACTGCCATTTTTAGTTTTCTGCTATTGATGTGCTTTCTTCTCATGTCGGTGAAATTTCAAAGGGGAACAAACAGGGGCATATTTTGCTATTTATTGGTCCAATCAGCACAACTGTGGTTAAGGTTACATTGGAGTTTCACGTTGACTTCAGGAGAAGCTATTTGAGGTCCATTTTCTACTGTGCACTTACAAACAGGAGGTAGTGCTGCATGTTGGGTAAAGCTATAAACTGAATTTCAGTCTTCTGGGTTACTGCAGACATACTGCAGCGTGAGCTTCAGTTTTTTTAAATTGAATAAAAGGAATCAGTATCTTGCTTTCCTAAAGTTCGAAGTGGAACTTCACAGGTGTGTTGATATGAAGTGTGATCACAGAGTTGAGTTTTATTATCTTTAGTCATAAATAGGTTATGTTTAGTCATATATAGCTTTTATAAAGTATATTTTTTCAGATTTTTTTCTTATTTGTCAGAATAACTTAAAAAAGATTTAAGAGGAGTGTGACTGTAAAGTTTTATCTGAAGCTAATTTTGTGAAATTAAAGCAAGTGAATATAGGGACTCGGTATAAACATTTACATTCTTGTAACTTTATATGGCTACTGTCATGTACAGGATAATACAGGTAAATGTTGTTGCACATATAACAAGGGTTACAGGGAAGTTCTTGTAAGTTAGAATTTAGCTGTACAAGTAAGGTATCTGTTGTAGTAACTTCTGAATGGCAGCGCAGCTTTGACATTGCACCCTGACTCTGTAATATTCAACCAGAGATCCATCATGAGTAGTACTGCTTTAGGACTGTGAGTAGGGTATTCCATAAAACTATAGGCTGTACTAGTGAGAGAGATGACTGCTTTGGAGAAATTAGTTGATTTCATGAGTATCATGTTCATACAGTATATGCTGAATATGTTTGAGGGGAGGAAAAAAAAAATCTGGATAGGGATATAGTTCCTGTTTCTATTGATAAGATTTCCTAGATTTATTTTCAGGATAGAAGAGKCTTCAGGATAAAGTTGTTTTTTGTATAGAGTCTTCTTGCATTTGGTTGGAAAAACAAGAAATGAAAACAAGAGTAATGCTTGATCAATGTAAATCGTTTCTTGCAAAKAGCGGCAAAGCTTTTTCTTGGGTGAAAATCATAGTGTCTGAATAGAATATTTGACTTGCAAAAGCCTCATGTCTTTAAATCCCTCTCGGGTGAGTTTCTCTTTGATTTAGAGCAACAGATTGATCTATTGAAATTTGTTCATTTTAGTGCAAACAGTCAACAACAGGATCCGTAAACTCCAAGAGAAGGAACATGAAGAAAAGAAGGTAATGGATGGACGGGTAGATTCTTATAGTGCAACTAAAGACTGCCATATGGTTGTACAACTAGTTTACTTGCCTTTGGTAAAGCAAAACTTTGAAATTCATATTTCTGTATTGGATGTACTTGGAATAAAACTGCTTACAGAGTAATTTCTGTACTTACAGAATGCATCCTGCAGTGTGCTGCTGTATGTTTTGGGAGCAGGAGCGTAATGGATCCTTAGGTCTTCCTGTGATCTCCTGATGTGTGGAAACATTTTATTTCCTTTGCTTTACTTTCCTGTCCTAGTTCAGAGTATAATAATTGTCACATACAGGGAAAGTTAAAATAAAAATGTGTATTTTCTGTGGAACAAAAAAGTCTGCTAACTTACCAAAATGGAAATGTAAATCTTTCCTAGTTAGTGCAAAACATTGAGCATATTATACGTGTTGTCTGTTGAAAAGGAAGTGTTTTTTCACTTGTGGATGAGTTATTTAATGAAGGGCTACATTATAGGAACACGCAAATCATTGGAATCTTTTCAGTTGGCTGCACTTGGCTTATTTGAAGTAAATGTGCTCTGAATCTGAAATTTGGAAAATTATATGAGAAATTACTTTCACATTTTCCCATAACTCTTTCATGGTTGTTTTCCAGTGTTATCTTTTYTACTTGCAAAATTACTACAATCACAGAGTGGTTTAGAAATACTGAAGACATTTCTTTGGCTATCGTGGAAAATGGGCTGTGCCTTGATTTACGTTAATGGATAGTCAGATTTTTCTTTCCTTTTTGTAGTCAGTGAAGATGGCCAGTTCAGCTGCAGTTGAATGCTGGTACTGTGTGACTAGTGCAGTACTGGACTGGTTTATGGTGTTTGGTGTAGTGTGTACATACTGATAGAGAACTTAAGTAGGAAATAATTCTTATAGTTCTGTTGCTGCTGGTTTTATACAGTAAAAAGTTTTATAACCTATGAAATTACTGTTCATTTTACAATTACTGTAACTGTCCTTTTTTGTAATATTAGCATCATATTTCTGCTATTGTTTTCTTAAGATGGGCTGGTGTGATTCTGCTGGCTATTACTCAGTATTTTCAGTGTTTCTTTAGGCTTGTAGAGTAAGACTTTTTGGCTTGAAAGTTTCCAAATGTGATGATAGCGAGGAGGTAACTTTATGAATTGCACATAAAATGGTCTCTATAGTTCAGCAGTTTGAGGAGAAATATTTTTTCCACATTCTTCTTTCTCTGATTGAATATTATAAGGATTAGTAGTTCTGTTAGATCCACTATCAAGTGATTAGTGTTTGCAGTCCTCAGTGAAATTAGTAACCTTAGTTTTTGCGGTTAAATTAATTCCATTTCTGCTGAGTTAAATGTATTTGAAAGTTATTTGTTTTACTAATTCTCTTTGCAGTTCCTTTCAGCTACTTTATCAGCCGAGTAGTAAAAGAAAAGCTGTATTGTCCCAACCTACAGTCTTGCTTTAGGTGTAAAATAATTTGTGCTTACAGGAGTGTAAACTGAAAGAAATATTCATGAAACCCCTTCCTTGGTGGGTACGTTCCCCATTTAGATCAGTAACATTTAGCCATTATTTCAAGCCRTGTAAAGTAGGGGAAAGTAGAAAAGACTTCATCAAGAAATTCTGTTAACAGGCATTGGTGTCTTGTATTTTGTTTTATTTTTAGCTTAGTAGTACTTCTTTGTTTTGTGTTTTTTGTTGTTTTTTTTTTTTTTTAAATATAGCAGATGAAGGCTTACTGGAATTTGCCCAGCATTCTCCATAATAAGCCTTCCCTCTTAGTTTTTTGTAACGTGAACTAGCACAGTAACAATTCCCAAAGCATATCTCTGGCTTTAACGTTTTGGGGTTTTTTTGTTTAATTTCAAGAAAAAAAAAATAGCCCGAGTAATATTAAGAGCAAGGTTTACTGAAATATGAGTATTTTCCCAAATGCTAATTTTTGGTATCACCATTGACTGTAAAACAAAAATAGAATTAAGTACAAATTGTTGTATCATTCAGCTCAGTGTATACAAGAAAGTTTTACTGCTATTATATCTTTGATGTTCAAGCAGTGAGCACTGTTGGCTGAAAAAAAATGGTTCTATAATCAGATTAAAATGTTTATTTCAAAATAACTGATGACCCAGTGTGGTTGTGGGGAAGCAGTTAATAGGGCAAAGCTGTATTAGTGTGTTGGAGGGCAGTAAGCTACTTAGAGGAATAGAACTGGAGTTCTAAAGGTGTTATTACTCAGTTTTGCCATTTTCTTGAGATGACAAATTAAAGGATTTTAAATTAGGCTGTGCTCTGTAAAGTTGTTTTGTGAAAGTATTCTGTTTTCTTGTTTGCTTGTGCTGTTCTTTGTGAAATTTTATTCTCTAATTTGCAGCTCTGAACCCTAAAACTCAAAAGTGTCTGTTCGTGTTTTATGAATCATCACAAGCAATCCAAAAKTTGCTATTAGAAGTTTAGGAGATTTATGCATCTTCATTTCAAATATTTTCCCATCTGGACGTCTCTGCACATGGCCAGCATGAAGCATTGGGGAAACTGCTGTTGTGACTGGGACGTCACCACGTTGGTACAGATCTCTAGGGACTGAACATTCTTGCTGTTGTCATACTTGTGTAAGCAAACTATAGGAGATGTTTAGAGCATCTTGGTTTAATTTTGAGCTCAYATTTAGTGAGAGGAGAAAGTTTGTATTTCAAAGATTGCACCTATTAAACGGTGTACAATGAGGGTTTCATGCTGTTTTCTACTTAGCCTGAGTTAAATGTGCAGTGAATTAATGCATCTTAGCTAGGGATGCTGCAGCTTAAGAAGTCGTCGGCTGTTTGAATTAATTACTGTTGAAATTGGTTGAGGTTATTGGTTTTTGAGTTGTCGTACTTCGAGGAGTGAGAAAAGAAAGAAAAGGAAAATAATCAGAAATTGTTTCCTGAAATTAAAAATATTATTTTCTTTATGAAATCAATTAGAAATTGAATTACCAGGCAAATTAGCAAGTTCTACACTCGCTCATTTTCATCTGACATGATTTTTATTAATTTCTGCGAATCTATAAATAAATTACAATTTACTGGTATGAAACACCTCCATATGTCTCTACAGGTCATTARTTTACCTAATAATGTTGACTTTTGGAAACATTACTTTTTGAGACTAGCTTTGACTTAACCAATACATGTTCATGCTGAGATGCATATATGTCTTGAAAAGCCCTGTGTTTTGTGAATGTTTTCATGTATGCCAAAGGTAAGTTTAACAAGTGAGACTGCTTCATTTTCCAAACACCTGTGTTTTCTAGCTCTTCTACACCTACAGTTGCACTTAAGGCATTGTATTTTTTGCAGAGTGTCTTGATTTCATTAGTTTTTCCTTTTGGATATTAGGGTCAATTTAAGAAAGCACAGAAGTTAATAGCGCTGGATATAAAGAGGACATCAGAGAAGTGGAGCCCGTTGTAGAAAGGAAGCAGAAAACAGAGCAAACCTGGAGGTTATTTGAAGAAGAGCAGCGTGGAACCTGTACTGAAAACCTGCATATTTTGRTGGCCCGTTTTTGTGCTGGAGCTGGTGTCGGTGTCCCACACGGGTGCCTGTGTCCTCAAGAGCCACTAGCAGTGTCCTGCTGAGGACAAGGCTGTGTCTCTATAGGAGCGTGTTGCAGGACAGCACGATGTTAAAGGGCATGTTTGCACAAGCCCTTRGCTCCGTTTTTGTACCTTAGCACAAAGTTTGAGTACCTTCTCTTCAAGGGGAGCATCTGCTGCATTTGGGTCTTGCAGTCAGACTGGGATGTAGGAGAAATCTGTCTTTGATAGCATCTCTCTCACATCCGAGGAGATTCCAGCTTTTCCTACTCAGGTAGCATTCATGTGTCTCTTCTGTGTGGACTCTTTAGCCTCTGTCTAATAAGAAGCAAGCTTACACTGCAGAGTGTGCTTTGTTTGAAAGAGGTGTACTTGAAGGCACAGATGCTTTAGAAATTCTTATTTTTTATTTCTGCTGCTCACGTAGTTGCTGATGTGGGAGGAACAGGAACACTGCATGTGTGATGGGCATCGTCTCRAAACAGGAACACAGTTGCTCAGCACCACATTAATGATTTGGAGGTGCTGCTGATACCAGTTGCATTTGTACATGTGATCTAGCAAGGAGAGCCTCAGTGCCTAAGATGTTCATTTAACTTTTACACTGAAGTTTGTCAAACTGTTAGAAAGTTGTGAGAATGAAAGTGTTCACAGTCTGTGCAGTCCTGTGCCACGTGCTCTAGGTGACCCTGCGTGTGCAGGGGGATTGAACTAGATCATCTCCAAAGGTCCCTTCCCGCCTTAGGGATTCTACGGTTCGTCATCCTTGCTTGTTTGCTCCAGCATTTGCTAATTTTATTCTTCTAAAAGCTGAAGACTTTTAGAGAAGGGAAGAGACTTTTTTGGAGGCAGAAGGAATTAGGCTAATATTTTGGTAGCTTARATTTAGCTATCTTCATGCTTTGTGGGGACCGCTGATGGTTTTACCAGCTAAATCATTTTATGTCCTTGAATAGAAATGGTGCTGTGGAAGATGCAAAKAGCAACATGCATTTCATGTTTATTTTAAGCCATTGAAGGGCCATTCAGGAGCATGGGCTCATCTAGAAGCGAGTGGTTCGGGCAGGCCCTGGGTTATCCTGCCCGTGTGCGATTCACCGACAGACCAAAAAGCTGAGGCACTGAAGTGCAGGCCCTCCTCCTCCTCCCCGCCACACAGACACAAGCTTCTTGTCTTTTTGTTACTGGTTACTGTTCTATATGTTACAAACAAAAGGGATCTTGGCTTGATATTACACAGTATATGAAACACTGCTCAGTAAAATAATTATGTGTTTACCTGTAACATGTCTTCTCAAAGAGCAGAACATACCATGTGGTGCGGTAAGGAACACRTAAATAGGTTTCCTTTGCATTTAATATGATACTAGACATCTGAAAGAATGAGGCTGTGTGGTAGTATCTACTCTTTCTCTGCAATTCTCTGCATAGAAGATAGTTATTGTTGATTAATCTTTAGTCTCTTGCTGGATGATGATGCAAACATAAGAACAACTGCCTTATGATGTGTGACTTTGTTAGACAGAAATCAAAGCGAGAGATACCTGGCTAAAACCAGAAATACTAACTGGCACTTTCAAAAAATTGAATTCTATGCCATATTTCTATTTTAATCTTTCCTTTTTATGCTAGAGGTTTTTTCATCCAGACTSTATCTAACTGTGGTGAATTTCCACACCTCGGTATAGTGGAAGTGTTCTACTTTTAAAAATTTATTCTAGTATGTAAAAACATATTTCACTGAATGGGACATTTGAGGGGAAGTAGGGCAGGGCTCAAGAAAAGAGGAGCAAAACATTGAAGTGTTGCTGACACAGATGATTTATGCATGCTTTTATTAACCATTTTCATTTGTTGTGCAACATAGAAGTATTCTTTTAGGTGTATCTGACATTGCAAACAGAAAAAATGTTGTGTCTTAAGTGTCAAAGTGGATCCTTTAATCTCTAGTGATGTGTGTGTACTTGTGTAATGAACATTCATAAATGGCTAAGATATTGTTTTGTCTACTAGTCACAAATATGAAATATAGTGTGCCTGCTATTTTCCACATAAATCAGCCTATGGTGTCGCTTCCAATGGGTTTTTAATCTGTATCATACATAATGGGGAACTGCGCACACTTGGCAGCTAGGTGCAGATTTCCAGCTCTTTGGCATTTCCAGAGGAGAGATCCAAGGTACTTTGCAGCAAAGTAGCTACATTTTATTTAAATTACTTTTAATTTGGTTACTAAGAACCTATCCCAAAATAGTTAAAAATGTTTCCTAAATGATAGTCTCTCAGAGACTCTGTGTGTGTGCAGTTTCTTTAARTGCTAGCCAACCCAAAACTRAAAACAAAATTGTTGTAGTGATTTTTTTTGTAACAAGCTAAAAACACCAAATATTGCCTTCCAGAGATCAGAAGTTTATTTTAAAAGGGAATCTGAATTGGCWATATAATGCATGTTTATATCAGCTGCAGTGTTGTAATACTTCCAATATTATCAGTAGTMAGAGGAGCAAATACTGCAACAGTATATTCTTCAGGTGCTGATACAAAATGAGTAGCAACTTTAAAGTGACTTTCCTTTTATATAGTTAATTTTACGTGTTTACCAGACTGCAGTATGGGATGCTACTTTTGCTTACATTAACACGTTAAAGACATTGTAAACATTATCATTTCTTCTGCATTTGCTATACCATGTAACTATAAATACCTATCTTCCTATTTTTACCTTCTGCTGAAGTAAAAGTCCATTTTCTCTGATACGTTAACATTGTGTAATTTCATGGCCTCATTAAAGCCGCTGTTGTACCCTGGAAGTGATTGTTCAAACTTCCCATTTTCCTCCCGTCGCCTCCAGGCTAACAGGCTGATGTGCGGAGGGGAGAAGCGAGCAGCCCAGTGGGAGAAGTTCATGAAGGAGCAAGAGACCAAACGAGCAGAGGTGGACGAAGAGCACAGAAAGGCCATGCAGCGCCTCAAGGAGCAGTATGCCAACATGGAGAAAGAACTGGCCAGATATGTTTCTTTTTAAGACTTTTTTTGTGTGCCAATATCCAGTTGCTTCCGACTCACCAAAATGAGATTCTTTTGGAAAGCTGGAGCAAGTAAGAAAAAAGGAGAATCTCCTCCGCAAGTTTGGTATAGGAAGAGAAGTTTTGCATACTTTCAGCTTAAGTGCCTCTCCGTGCTTGTTCTGTTCGGGGTCAGTGGAGTGCCAGTATTTCTCAGTTTGTTGGAAGGTTCAACTGGAAACTATATTGTGTGACTACATCAGCTCACAGATGCAAGCTAGAATTACTTGCATGTGCAGACAGTATCATATCACTTGAGAAAATAGAGCCTAATTTAATGTTAAATATAGCCGTATGCAATCATAGTCCTTTCCCCAAAAAAGTACATGTAATTTCAGTTAAATATGACTGGAGCCTAACTGGGAAGACTATAAATCTTACTCATGGATTTCAGGAAAGCCAGCTTGTGTTGCAGAATACAGTAGGTTTTGAAAGTTCAGTGATGAAAGATCTCAGTGTAAATCCAGTCATAATGCCAACTTTGGCATTTGCATCCAAAGTATTATGAAGTTGAGCTGAGATTTAAATGGCTCTTGCTAACGTAGCAGTRCGAGTGTCTAAGTGGTTTTGGACAGCAATTCCACTCTCCCTCTGAGACCTCTCCTTTGGGCATTACCGTTCCAAGCAAAGCCAAAACAAGTTGACGTAATCATGAGAAGCACATTGRTCTTTGTATTACTTTTAGGCCAGTACAGTATTTATCTTAAATATTTGATGTGGCTTACTGTTGGTTTACTTAGCAGATAAGCTTGACAGAACTTTGTTAATTGATAAAGAAATAGAGAAAGATTTTTGTTTCTGTATTTGTATTACAAATGAGCAGATTAATGGTAAAACATCTGTAGTACCAATCTGTTTTCTTACTAATTCATGGAGTATGTGACACTCCTGTCACTGCTTTCCTTTAATTCTTGCATTTAGCATCAATATAATTGAAGAAGTTAATCCATTCAGTAATCAAGCAAAATGAGACCTCATAACTTAATGAAATTTGCATTTTTTAAGCAAGTTAACCCGTAGTACGGGAAATATGTTTTCATATTTTAACTGCTATTCAGTATAGGATGGAAACAGGTAAAAAGAGAAAGAATTCCTTCTTTACCTGTATTGCAGCAGCTATATGCCAACAATGGTTACTTGTGTAAGTTTATGGCCTGGTGTCAAGGCTCCATTCCTGGCAGCATGTTGATAGTRTGATTAAAGTTAGTAGAGGAGATGAAATAAGTATTTGAGATCTCTTTCAATAACGCTGAATTCCTGCCAAGCGTCTCTGTCTGCTACTGTAAGCCTGACAGCTTCATCCATCATCGTCACGTGTCTGGACTGAAAAGAGCACTTGCCGACACTGAGGCACACTGGAATGTTGTTAATTCTCCGTTGCGGATGGAAAAAAGCATGGATGTCTCCAAAGTATCCCACACTTGGAAAAGAGGAAAGCCTCTTTCAGAACAGCTCCCATTTAAATAGGAGGTGACTTCTGTAGTATTTTTCAGCTTATTCAATGATGAATGTTATGACTAAGCTCAGGCTTTCATTGATGAATAGTTCTTGTTTCAAGTTGGGTCTGGGGTAGTTTCTGATCATTTTGAGGACAAACTGAAAGTGACTTCTCTTTTACAAAATGTATGTGTACCCAAAGCCCAAATATGTTTATAACAAAATGCATCTAACTGTATTCTGAATGCATTTTATTTTTGCACTGATAATTTTTATTAAAATTTAGATATCTCATTAATTGTGCACTGGAGCTGTGGAATTTAGTATTCCTTCAGTCTGAGGGCTCTTACRCAATGATGCAAGTCTTGCAGGTTGGATGTCCACTGGAAAATAAAGAAGTATTTCCAAAAACTTCTGGGTCTCCTGATTCTCTGAAAGCTTCTTCTAAATAGTGGTGCTGAAAATATGTTCCTCTTTTAGAAGCATACAGATATTTTTATGCTAAAAATGACATTTCTTCATTTTTTTAGTGTCTGGTTATTAGCATATTCTCATTGGAGAACTATCTGAAAAAATATCTTGAATTCAGTGACTTTTGGTTTTTTTGTGTATGAATGCTGTAGTTTTTGAGTTGATTTGAAATGCTTAAATTGCCTTTGGAGGAACTTGCCAACATTTAGACAAAACCTATTTTTCTGTCATAATGCTTAAAAAAAGAAAAAGGAAGAAAAAAACTGTTTAATCTCTTACAGCAGTTGTACAATCTCTTATGTCAGTATCTGACAGGTAAAGAAAGGTCCCTCTCTTCAGGTGTGAGTGTGGCCAGACTGGACACCATAGTGCTCCGCGGTGTCTTTATAGGTTTCGAGCTCTAAAACCTGTAGATAGCACAGAGTCTTTACCAGCTGGGAGAAATACAGAAAGTTGTTTTATGATATTTATTTATGGAAGTATTTTAGCTTATACTTGTAATATTTAATTAGAATAATTATAATTYAATATGTTAATATTACATGTAATAATTATATGTGTAATATTTCATGATTAAAACACTACAATAGCTTTGCAAATCTTTGAGGAATGATCTAGCCCATGTCAAACTGATAAAAGTTTGCATGCTGGATTGCGTGTTCAGCATTTGATTAAATTTCTAATGCTGAAAGTGAATTTTGCAGTCCTTCCTGTCACCAARTTATGCACATCACTTTTTGTGTAACACTCAACTGAACTGTGGTTAGTAGCTACAAGTGTGTCTGGTATTATATAATCATTGGAACATTCATGTAATTTTTCAATTGTAACATGCACAACGATAATCAGGTACTTTTTTGTATGAAAAATGTTTAAGAGTAATAGCTCAATAATTTAACAATTACAATTTTCTCTACTGCCATCTTACCTTAAAAATTTTTAAACTTTTTTATCTCTTTGGGATATATTGCATTTAGAGTGTCATTTTTCTTTCAATCTTGAGAAGGAGAGAGAAAGCTGATTTATTCTTACTGTTTCCTATGCTGATATTTAACACTAACATTAAGTAATAGGAAAAAAATCCATTATTGCAGGCAGAGTTTGGGGCTTACTCTGTCATTTTCATTTATGGTTTGTACAGGTTTTCCTCAAACACTATATTTTTTTTATTAGACAAATTAAATTGAAAATAAGTGGAGTTATCGTCTGTGATTCCGTTGCTATTTGGCTGAGGACGGGTTGTAGTTCCCTGCGGAGCGGAAAGCCGCCTGTGTCTCGGCTGTGGCTTTTGGGATGCCGAGTGCTGCCCGGTAGGTGTCAGCCCGAGCCTGCTCTGCGAGGCGCACGGCTCCCGCCTCCAGCCCTCACCCAGTATGAGGGCATCAAATAATGCCAKCCAGATCACCAAACTACGTATATCATCCCAAAATGGTCTGTAGTAAGCTTTTCTGAGGAGTGTTGGAGGCAAAATACTGTCGATGAGGGGTGTCGCTTTTTTGCATATCGTTTGATATTATCTGTAATACTCGTGTCTTCTAATTGGGATTTATTTATACGTTAAAGTTAGACTCGATGCCAGACATGAAGAGCTTAAAYTGAAATCTTTTACTGCTGCCTGAGGCTGGGGATCAAATTTTGGGAAGCGATTTGAGACAAAGTGTTATGCTTATTGACAGAGATCATGCCATARTAAAAATTGGGGACATTGTAAACCTTTTGGATAGTCCAGTTAATTTTATTGTTTATATTCTCAAAGAGGTAAAGATACAGTATACCTGATGCTGCTGGTCTAGCTTGTATTCTGTTTTTCAAGATACAGTAGAATCTGCAGAAAAATATGATTGCCGCTAATGTAGCAGCATTTGTATGAGTAATACAGCTTTCATAAATCATTTAATCCTAAAATTATTCATAAATTCCAAATAACACAGATTTTTAAAAGAGAGGGGAGAAGTTAACCCCCCCCCCCTTTTTTTTTAATGCACAATTTATAAAGGAAGTATTATGTAAGATTTCCTTCAGCCTTGGGAAGTATAGCACTCCATTCAGCTCTGAAGAGTGCTCAGTTTGAGGTGCAATACCTTTGCAGTGGTGTAGGTGGCAGTTGTATGTATGGTAATGAGCAAAGTAATGACAACTTTATTCAAGACAATTATGGGCATATCTTTTCCATCACCATAGAAAGTCTGAAAGGAGATTTTATATAAAATATCATTTTGCTTTATGGAGATGCAAAATTCTAGTGAACTTCTATGGATTAAATGGGCAAATATGTCCAAATATGTATGATCCCATATGTAGAGAGGGATGCAGAAGGAGCAGCCTACGTTTACCATACTCCTTTCTACTGTATGCTCTTATTTGATAATGTTGTAGTTTGATAAGGCTATCTACTTAAACCACAGTCCCGACACTCCAAAGTTCCTGAAGAAAGGCTTGAGAATTTTACTACCAGAAAAAAATGACATGCACAGATTGGGGAAAAAAAAATGCTTGTTTTTAGGAAGGTAGTTCATTTGCAGAACTCAGTAGTAAAAATCTTGCTGAATATCTCAGTATAGGGGGAAACTACCTGGCCCGTCAGCCTGTACTGCTAGGAAAAAGGCTTGCAGAAGTCCTGTGAAAGGTGTGGTTGTTCTGAAGATCAAGGGCTCAGATTTGTGCGTCCTGACTATGAATCAAACACAAGTATCCACCTCCTAAATTGCAGATTGCCTCCTTAAATCCCTCTTTCAGGGCCAAATCTGGGCCTGGTCCTCCAACATGTAATTTTTACAGAGAGTAAAGATTGGTAGGATAGTMATTTTAAAACTTATTAATGAAATTCAAAATTGAAACCTTGATTTCTACAGTCTTCTTCCTTAATAGCTCACTGGGTGGATATAAGGAGACTTACAACTACATACCTTTGTCTTCTAAAAGACAATGCATGTAATGATGTAAAAAAGTTGGAAAGAACCAAAGCAGTGTTTGGGGCTTTTTCTTACTAATCATTATTAATATTTTGAGACTGACATGACCAATAGATTTATCTGACATTTTATGACGTATGATCCCTACTTGGTAATCTGGTGATCAAAAAATGTTTTGTTCTTGGGCCACAACAAATGAGCATTTTCAATTGTCTTTGCAAGTTAATTATGAAATAAATTTGTAAATATGCTTTGCAAAGCTTATAGGCTGGTTCATAGCCAGTGCTTTCGCAAGTGAGGATATGCAAAATATCTATTGTTCTAATATGCACTCCAGCTTATATAGAGCCCTTTTCAGTAGCTTTAGCTTCTGAAAAGTTAGTTCCGGATGGCTTGAGGTCATAGGAAGCCCTTTAAGAGTGGACCAAAGTTTGGCCTTTCCAGATGTTTTTAGCCCTCATTAAATAAATTCCGGTTCCTGAAAATCCCCTCTCCAGATGGCTCTAAGTCTGTTCCAATATTTACTATGTCACCTAGAAAGCTTCTAAGCTGAATTACCTAAATAGGAAGTACTGTGCATCCCTCCAGTGTACTAATTTGAAAGAACATTGAGTATTGCATTAAGCCAAAGCTTTTCTAAAAAAAAAAAGAAAAAGAAATAGAAACTGTAAATAACATTAGCGATCTGTAAAGTTAATCACTTTGATTTGCAAATAACTAATTTGTTTGGAATCTCCAGGAGGAAGTGTCCTTTGAAATATCAAAATCTTAAAGGGCTCAAAAAAATCATTAAAATAAACAGCAAGCACTGTATTGCAAAAGTGGAAGAGCACAGTTGGTTTGTGGATATAAAGCTTGTTGCATATGCGTGTGTCTATGAGAAGAAGGCCCAAACCCTCTATTAAATGAGGCATCATTTCTGAATGTTAAAAAAATATCCCTTGGATATATAAAAATATATGCCAGGATGTATAGTGTTCTGATATTTTGTTGCAGCYATGGCTTTCAGGTGGTATAGCAAAAGCAATTTCATTTTAAAAACCAATGAACAGATAGTTTTATATTACAGGAGATCTGTTTAATTGTTGGCTTTTTGTTTCTTCACTGGATGTTGAAGCAGGGAGGAAAAGCAGCTCCCTAAATCAGACTACTTTAGGATGATATTGGTATTTTCTATGGTCACTATCTCCAAGGGATCAAAAAATATGAAATCTTTCTTCAGTGTTGCTTTGCTCTTTGAGATTCTTCTGTTTGTTCTTTTGGTTTTAGAAGGTAAAAGTCATGTAGAAATGTGATGTGGTTAAGGTATAAAAAAGTCATACCAGCATCTGAGTGCTTCCCTTTTGTCCTTTGCAGCCTCTCTTAAAGAAGAAATGGTAATTTCCTCTCTATCCTTTTTCCAGGGCCACTCTAACCAAAAATGAAGTTGAAATCCAAAAATTGAGTTGAAATTTTTGCCACTGTCTTCAGTCAAAATAGAATCAGATGTTCAGCCATTGCCTCTGCTGTTAGGAGTTTCGGTGCTGATTGTATTTTGTCTGTCTGCACAGAACTGGACTGAGACCACATAATTCTGCAAAGAGGTTATCCAGCAGCTATTGTATCAGTGCTACTGGAGGTCATTGCCTCAGTATGCTCCCTTTGAAATGGATGCCATAAAGAGAAACTTTAGCTGAAAACTATTTCAAAATAATTTTCACACGGTAAGAAATTATTCTTCATATATGATGTGATTTCCACGTGCACCTTCCCCATGCTTTCAAGTTCCCAGACCAGTTTGTCCCACAGAATCTAATAAAAAGGCCTGATTTTTCCCTGGGGCCTTTTCTGGTCATGTTTGATATCACTTAACATAATGAGCTTTTAACTCCCACATCATAAAGGGTTTTGTTTTAGATTTCTTTTTTCCTCAACACAAAGTGTTGCTTACATCCCTTCTAAAGAATGCTCTCAGTTATGCGAAATGTGGACAAGTTGTCTGGG